ATATATATATATATATATATATATATATATATATATATATATATATATACATGAGAATGGAGAAATTGATGATGTCATGCATAGAATTAGAGCTAAGTAGACGAAGTGGAGATGTGCGTCCTGAATCTTATGTGATCGTCGCAAAACCAATTATGCTTTATGGAACATAATGTTGGGGGTCAAGAAACAACATATATATCAAATAAATGTCGTTGAGATGATGATGTTAATATGGATGAGTGACAAGACAAGAAAATATAAAATTTAGTGGTAACTCAAATAGGTAATAAGACGAGAGAAAGTAGACTTAGATAGTTTGGTCATGTGCGATGTCGACCTAGACCAACACCAATTAGGAGGGATGATTTGGTTCAAGTGGAAGGATTATAGAAGACAAAGGGAATGCCAAATAGACATAAATGAAAGTAGTGAGAAAAAATATAGTAACTTATGATTTGATTGACAATATGGCCTTTTATAGAGTGGGAATAGACCGACTCCGAATAGTTGAAAAATGCTCGAGTAATACATACACAATGGGCACGTATAGCATACCACCACGAGCATATGGCACGTATAGCATGCTCCCACGAGAGCATATTGTACTTAACTTCTTGGGTGAAAGAGGTGTTTTGGAAGATAACTTTTTTTATTTGAGTTCTTGGGATCTAACGAGGAATAACTAGTTCCTAGATTATTGGGTAAAAGAGGTGTTTTGGAAGATAATTTTTTTTATTTGAGTTCTTGGGATCTAACAAGGAATAATTAGATGATTATTTTCAAACAAACAAAAATAAAAAGGATTTTGAGTTCTTCAATACCTAGATCTTGCCCTTCAAAATTGGATGGTCCTCGTTCATTCTTGGGACATCATTTTTTTGAAGCACATACAGCATGTGATTTGAAATTTTTCTTTTTATAGACCTTTGATTTTTATTTATTTGGAGTGGTCACCACTTTACGACTATCTTTAAGATGGATGTTTGATGCATCAGGGGACGCAAATTTGGGATGTGTCATCCCTTTGATGCATAAAACGCATTCCCTAAATATCTATGTATGTACGCATGTATATGGAAATTACGTAAAATTCTATTTAATTTTCAAATTTAAAAAACAGTCTTATATTATATAGTTAAAACTCTCACTTTTTAAGAGCATTTAGTATAGTTTGATTTTATTTTTTTTATACATCGGATTGAGCTCAAATTTGTGACATCTATACTTTTTATTGTTACACACATTTAAAAAATAATTCAATAAATACAAATGATCAATATATCCCTGCAAGAACTTTGAGTATTATGGTAATTTGATTTATTTGATTTTTTATAGACGTGTGATGGTATGATGCACACCCCAAATTTATACTTAATTAGAGAAAAATAACATTAAAATGCACTATACACTATCTAGAATTGGGATTCGAGCGTAAACTGGGGACTAATTTTAAATTTCAAAAACCATAATGGGGTGCTTCTGTAAAGTTCCCATACACTGCAAAGAACTAGCGAATTTCTACAGTAATTGGCTTGGACTCTCAACCTTTTGTCTTGATTGGAAGTGTTTTCTTTTTACTCATTTAATTGGGATGAAAATTTGAGGTGTGCGTGCCTTATCTGGGGGCACCAATATTAATTGTAGACAAAAATAATTCTGAAGTATAAAATGAGCAAAATACCTTGCATAATGGCAGGGATATTTTGGTTTTTGAATATATTTTTTTATGATTTTCAGGCGCATGAGGGTGAGAAGCATACACCCTCCAAAATACAACGGAATTTGACAATGTAGAAAAAAATAAATTCAAATATTGACGTGTGCTCCCAACTGTTCAATCAAAGATCGAACGTCTGTGAGCATTGAATGACGTATTGTAAAAGTCCAGAGTCTTTTATAGCATTTTCCACACGAACACATTATTCTAGATTGCATCTTCACTAACTCCAACGGTGATTTTAGAAACCTTTGCTCCAGCACTTCTAAAAATACACATATTTTTCAATCTATGAAACCAGATCAATGGAGGGGATTCAGTGTAAATGTGCTTCAACTTTCAAAAAAAATTTAATTTTTGTAGGAATTGGGTTTACCTTTAATTTTGAGGTTTGTCGAAAAAAAGACAAAAAATAATTTAAATAGTTAAACTGACTAAAACACCCTATCAAATTGTGAATTGTCCGGACTTTCAAATTTTTAAAATGCCCTTACAATTGTTTCAAGGATATTTTGATCAAGGATTGTTTGAAAACAAAATTATAAAAAATAATTTAAATAGTTAAACTGACTAAAACACCTCTCAAATTGTGAATTCTCCAGAGTTTCAAATTTTCAAAATACCCTTACGATTGTTTCAAGGATATTTTTATAATTATTATTTGGGGAGTGATTTCATGAAACAGTTGTATTATAATATAATGAAACAATCTTTCTATGGTGTGTTTTCAAATTTTGTTTGTTTTTGTAATTGTTCATTAGAATAAAAAATGTGTATATGTAAAAATTAGTGTCAAATAAATAGCTCTAACACAATTTTTAAAAATTGTTTCATTATATTACTATAAAATTGTGTGTAAAATTGCTATTATATATTTGTTAGGGTCTTCACACTATAGAGTAATTTATAATTATAGTCAACAAATTTTGGACATTTATGCACCTTTGTTTTGTAAATGGAATTATTTTTAGTAAGGTTATTTTTTATTATTAAGAGGGGTTTGACATGATCCACATGGGGTGTTACATCGCCTACATGGAGCGCGTTAAATGCGACTAGTGTGCTCTCATGTGGGTAATATCATAAATGATGTCATACCCCTCTTAATGACCAAAAATAAGCTTATTAAAAAAATGCTCCATGTACAAAACAAAGGTATGTAAATGTTCAAAATTTATTGAGTACAATTATAAATTGCTCTTTAGTGTGAGCATCCTAACATAACATATATCTTAGCCCAAAAATTTCAATTATTTAACGTTTTATCATAAGTGTATTTCGATGTGAGAATTTTCTTGTTCACCTAAATTGCAAGACCCCATTTTGATATGTCATTTGGTAGACTAATTGAAAATTGGAATACATGTAATTTTTATTGTCTTTAGAGATAAAGTTTGAAGCTTAATGAGATTCTCTCGACTGTGTTTCTCTTCTACTGTATCGGACAGGTTCTAAAATTACCCCAAATATTCCTGTCCTCAAAATAGAAAAAAAAGAAGTTATTTTATAGTAAAAAATTTGGGAGTTGAGTTTTTAAAGAGTAGGATTTGTTGTAGAATCATTATTAAAATGAGTAGAGATGGCTCATCTTCAATTAATTAATTATTTTATTTGAACATTATGGCTGATCTTTAATGTTGTTGTGCAGCTACCGCATTTGAGGCATAGAACTCGGGGTTCACGATTGCTTCGCAGGCTTGCCCCATGTGCTAGATGCCCATGTCCCAGATCTCCCCGGTAGCTGCCTTTGTATTTTTATTACTCTAAACCCCTTCCACTTCCATTGTCGCCTCCCCGGTAGCTGCCTTTGTATTTTTATTACTCTAAACCCCTTCCACTTTCATTCCCCCCCCCCCCACCCCTTTCCTTTACTCTTCTTCATAATTTTCATTGCCATTGCCATTGTTGCACTTTTCTTATTATTCCTGCTCCTCTCATTGTAGCAAGCAGAGCAGGTCCCTTCTAATAAAGGAAATGGGTATTTCTCATTTCTCATTAGGGACTTCCCTTTTAGCTTTTCTTTGTCTGCTATCATTACTGTTATCATTGTTATTTTTGCATTCAGCCATTTTTCTCATGGTCATCTTCAGGGAAGGTGTGATCAAATCACACTCAAGAAAATTTTTTGTTTTTTTTTGGGTAATTCAGTGGGAAAGACAGGCTCCTGCTCATTTTTTTTTCAAGTAGATTAGGAGTTAGCTTTTTTAAGGTGTTAGTGGTGTGAACGAAGATCACTATGTGGTGACTAGGGTATAAGGGGTGCTATTACCACGACCCCAGCCCCTTTCCCACTCGAGAGGACTATAGATGATCAAATCACGTTTTCTACAATTCTTAACAATTCCTATTTATGATCCATGATGACGTTGGGCTTAAAATTGAAAAAAAAAACCGAATTAGATCTTAAATAGTTTAATTTTTAAATGCAATCTGATAGATTTCCTTAATTTCAAAAGGAGTCTTGATTGAGGAAAGCTTACAAATGATATTATGGAGGCAACAGTGTGCAGCCTGTGGTACAACATTGGGGTAACCATGGTATCTGATACTTGCCCAGGCTGCGTTAATCTCCGCCATCCATGTGCTATATGCCACTAATTAATGGTTAATTTCTTAGAATAATTGCAAAAGACGCATGATATTTAAGAGGATGGTATACTATATTAATCATAACTATTAGATGTCCAATTAGATGTTTAAAAGGATGGTATATTATATTAATCATAACTATTAGATATCCAATTAGATGGTTAAGGTTATCTCACAAAGTTCAAGAAATTTTATGTTGAACTTTGAGTTTAGTCCCAGGTACTCCTACAACTATTTGATTTGAAATTTGATGGACAAATATAGTTGCGACTTTTTTGTACTAAAAGTAAATAGTCTCTTTGTATACTTTTTCATTTCTAAATTGCTTGAAACTTAACTACTGCTTTCTGCAAGAAAACATACAACTATCTTTGTGTTGCATGTGAACATTTTGACGCATGTCAACAAATTGTGATGGACCCTGCATGTTTCGTGTGAATTAGTGCCGTATCACAGTATCGACATTCCTGTCAACCGTGTCAAACATCAGTTGTTTGTTTTGTTGGGTGGACTCCCTTGTGATAAAATTTGGTGAAGTATTTTCTCTAGAGTGATGAGCTTCTAAAAAAATTTGGAGGGATGAAATGGTGACATTCTTTGAAATGTTAAATACCCCTGGTGCAATAGTATATGAAAGTGCTATTGGTTTTGGTGAGTACACCTTCAGAATCCAGCACGATCAAAAACATATTCTTAATACTCTTAATACTCTTCCAAACTTTATCATGAGATGCAATTTTGAGACATGGCAAATAGGAAGTGCCACTACGGAGAGAGACATATCTAAGATCTGTAACATTGTAGAAGAGTAGGGAGGCAATCAGCACCGGAGACTCAGCCAGTTGAATGCCTCCTCCATGGCCATCAAGAGGTTATATATATCACCATGCACATCACTGCTCACACGTCTTGAGCTTATCTCACATATCACGAACCGACACACAGGACACTGACCATGGCTCTTGAGCCATGGTACCAAGCAATCTTCGTGAAACCTGTGGTTGCAAGGGGTAACAAATAGTTCTTGGTATGGAGTAAACTGTTCCAAACACACTGCACAATTTTCTGGCTCCTCTGCAACTAGTTTCTCCTTGAACAACCCTCTCTTACCACTTCTTTTGTAAGGTAGATATGTTTGCTTCGTGAGCTTTTTCATGGCTTCTTTCAACTCTTCTTCGGTTAGGTTGCTTTCTTCTTCTTGTGAGGGTGGGCCAAGGTGCCACTGTACTCTTGTTCCCGGGGGTGACTGGTTAACGAATTCGCGTAGCATTGGGTTCATATTTCTAACGATATCATCATCCAGGATGAGGATCCATAGTGGTGAATGGGGCCTCGTAGGAAACCTGCCTCAGGACTCAAAAATTTCAGTTTGTTGGAGGACCTCTCTCTCTCTCTCTCTCTCTCG